AAAAGATCTTAAAAATATCATACTTTTAAAAAATAAAACGTGTAGCTCCATCACTTAGATACATCTAGACTCCAAAGACTATGGTCCAGAGCTCAACCACTTCCTTAAGTGCCTTAAGATGTTAACCAATGAAAGATTTAAATAAATCAACCCAGACATAAAGTGGCTAATGGAAGATCCAGAAAGAGCAACACAATGAAGAAAAGGGAAGAAATTATCAAGGAAATAGTGATAAAATTTTCCATGGGCTGGGGATGTGGCTCAAGCGGTGACTCGCTTGCCTGGCATGCGCGGGGCGCTGGGTTCGATCCTCAGTACCACATAAAATAAAGATGTTGTGTCCACAGAAAACTGAAAAATATTAAAAAATTCTCTCTTAAAAAAAAAAAAAAGTCTTCCAAAATCAAACATACGAACTTCTACATTAAAAGAGTTCATCCCGGGTGGCTGGAGATGTGGCTCAAACGGTAGCGCGCTCACCTAGCATGCGTGCGGCTTGGGTTTGATCCTCAGCACCACATACAAATAAAGATGTTGTGTCCGCAGGAAACCAAAAATAAATATTAAAATTCTCTCTCTCAAAAAAAAAAAAAGAGTTCATGGGGGGGGGTTGTGGCTCAAGTGGTAGAGTGCTCGTTTAGCACCAGTGAGGCACTGGGTTCAATCCTCAGCACCACATAAAAATAAAAAAATAAAGATATTATATCCACCTACAACTAAAAAATAAATATTAAAAAAAATAAAAGAGTTCATCCCAAATGCCCAGTATAATGAATGAAAAGAAATTCTGGGTAACACATAACCATGAAACTTCAGGACACAGATTTCAAAAACCTTCCAGAGAAAAAAGTCACAAATAAGAATATTGATTTTATCAAGGGTAAAGCAGGAAAATAATGATCTAATACTGCCTTTAAAATTTAGAGGGAAAAATGGGTTTTAATCAATCTCACATTTAAACTATCAATTAAGGATGATGACAGAATCAAGATATTTTCAGACACACAAGACCTCAAAAAATAAAAGCATATCCAACGTATCCTGGAGTTACTTCTCAGGAAATTATTGGAGAAAGGAAACCAAAAAAAAAAAAAAAAAAAAAAAAAAGAAATAAAGACAGACAGACACAGGATCCAACACCACAGATTCAATATGGGAAAGACAAGAGAATTCTGATAATCTATTAACTTCTTGGAAAACGGAAGTTTTGCCAAGACTCTCCTACTCTTTTGTATTCATGCTTTCAAGTTAGAGATAAAACAACATCAAAAAACAAACCTGTAATCAGTCTCTGTGTTATGAAGTTTGGTATGTTATGCTTAGCTAAGCCAGTAGTATACCTTGCTTTTTATTACTGTATAACCATGTTTTCCCTAGAATGGAGACATAGCGTGTAATTGATTCCACCTTCCCTGATGGGGAGCCCAGATTACTTTTCTGCTCCCATATGAACTCAAGGTTCTTTGCCCAGTTATTAGACTAAGACTTCCTTTTCATTATCTTAGGAATCACTTTTCCTCTCCCTGTGTAGGGTTCCCTATTTCTTGAATCACTGCCATCTTTTTCTGGATTTACTCCTTGAGTTGAAGTGGGTTGAAGACTGAATGGAAATTAAGGAGGTGGAGATTGAGTACAGACTATTCTGAGACATCTGCTTAGGAAGAGGCAAAAGAAGGCTTACAATGATGTATTTAGAAACATGGAGGCAGAGACCAGAAGCAATCCAGCTAAAAAAGGTAAGTTACCACAGGGGAAGAATAGAGTGGAGGACTTTTTTCATTATAAGGTCTATGGTACCAATATCACTGCACGAATGCCTAGCAATACACTAGTTAAGATAACTGGAATAACGGGGAAAAGGGACAATTCTCTAGGTAGAGGGAAAGTGAGCAAGAAAAACTGTCAGTGATTCTGCCTGTTAAAACTCAAGGTGTGGTGGGATAAGAATAAGCACAAGGATACTGAGAACTCCCAAAAGTATAGGATTGGCTTTGGAGAACAACTAAAGATTTTCATATATGGGAATGCTTAACAACCGAGGAATTGTTTACCCAATTAGAGAAAGGAAAGCAGACAGAGCCCACTGGCCTATTCTAGGAAGGAGATGAGGAGGGTCTAAAAAAAAAATCAAAGGAACTATACTGGGTTAATATGAAAAATGGAAAAGAAACAGAACCAACAGGTCTCAATTACATATTGGACTGGGTAAAAAGGAATGGTAGACATCTAAGAACTGAATAATAGATGCTTTCCTCCAAATTAGAGAATTTAATATGATGGGTTTTAAAAAATGAAAGTGAGTTGTTTAGGACATGTATTTGAGGTGAGGAGATAACCAGGTGATGTTGTCTGATGATCAGATGATGATCAATAGGCAGCTGGATATAGTTCTGAAGTACTGTAATGAAGACTGGTGAGATTAAGATGTTATTCACATAGAAGAAGAAATTAAAAGCCAGGAGGATAAATAAAATAACCTATAAAGAGGGTGAATGGTAATAAAGGGTAACAGGTACAGAGGTCACAATTCTTAAGAAGGGAGTGGCTGTGTCAGATGCCATTGGAAGTTCAAGTATAACTGGATAAATTCCTTTGGATGCCAGTTGCACTGATCTTTAACAGTAATTCAGGGTGCCTAGAGGAAGATTTCAAGTGTACAGAATGGAAAGCAAATGTTTAGTCTTTATCTTGCAGGGAGTAAAAGAAAGAAATTCCACAAACACAGGAAGTAATTTTAAAAGATCATAGACAGGCCACCAAGAGTCACTAATGTCTATTATGTTGAACTTAATTGCTGTATAGTAGCAAAATTAACTTTAAATTTATATTATAGTTGATTTGGATTTTAGTTAATACTGGAAAGTAATTTCAAATTTCTTAAGCACGAACTTGTAGAAGATTTAGAACACACTAAATGATGAATGCAGTTATGGATAATCTAGAAAAGAACAATCAAAGAGACTGAGCAGAAAGACATTCACTAAGTTATGTCATGGTGATGTGAATCAAAGTGGTATGAAGTCTTCTGCAAGTATTAAAAGCAGTTTGGAACTTATACCTTAAGCACATTAGAGTACTACCATCATAATATTAAGTGTAAACTCAAAAGGGGTATACACATTAATATTCATATACCTAATTCCAAAGGTAACACTATCTAAATTCCAGGGTTGTTTTTGATTACTGTCTTAAAAAATGTCCTAGAGGGGCTGGAGTTGTGGCTCAGTGGTAGAGTGCATGAGGCAGTGGGTTCGATTTTCAGCACCATATACAAATAAATAAAAATAAAGGTCCATCAACAACTAAAAAATACTTAAAAAAAAAAAAAACCCTAGAATTCTTTTACTTTTTAATCCAAACTTATTTTATAATGTGCACTTTTATCACAAAATTCCAGTTAGTCCAATTTTATTCAGTAAAATAACACCACAGAAGATAGAACGTTACTTTTGTTAATAAAAATAGTAGAAAATTCTTTTTTTAAGAAGGGCCAGAATATTCCTTATGTCTCCAAACCAAGTCCATGGATGTAAAGAAATATCAAATTCTTTGCCCCTAAAGGTGGCAATACCCTTTAATGTCTTAATAACCCAAAGAGACAACACAGGCTCACGTGCTTTAGTTGCCGCTTCAAGAAAGTCACGTGCAATACTTGGGAATGCAAGGAAAAAAGCACAGGCAGGAGTGATTCTTGAAATACTTCTTGCCCTGGCAATGAACCTCAGTACTAAATTCTTTTATCTGTTTCCTCTTCTGTGATCCTGCTAAACTTTTAAGCCACTAGGTAACTGCACTTCAAAGGCACAATTTTCCACAATTCCAGAATTATATTTGGTAGGCAGTACAGTTAGGTAGATGACAAGGCCGAATTCTTATAAATTTTGAAATTACATCCAATAGAATTTACATTATTGTTAATTTTTCCAGTGAAAACCTGCCATTTCCAAAACATAGTTGGGCAATGTACCTACTAGTGACATGGCTCCCCAGTTGCTCACTTGCACAGCCAGCCAAATAATCCCCACTAAGAAATGGTGGTGGAACAGTGGAACATGGGTGGCAGGCACAGGCAGAGGCTACAGCAGGCCTGAGGTGAGCCAGGGGTAATAACCTGTGATGCCAAGGCAATCCAGGTGCAGGCCGGTGTAGATGCGTGTTCCACAAAGTGCCAAAGCTCAGAACCCCAAGCATTCATGATCTGACAACTTCAACTTTCCACTTCCCAGGAATAGTGGGAAAATTTAAGTGGGGCAGACCTGAACATAAGTCCATGTTCAGAAGTACCAATAGCACTGGTACTTTCCCAAATGCTGAATAGCATAAATTTGGACTAATAGTGTTGACTCAAGTGCTATATAAACCCCTAGACTAGGACACAAGCAGCAACCCCTCCAGTCCTCTCTTCTCCTGCAGGAATTAAATATGAATAGAAACTGAACTCCTGATTTCCATACCTGCATACTTCATAAACCCATCATGAACTCTACATTCTAACTTAGCTTAACCACAAATGATTAATCCAAACATGTCATGGTAGGATCTGAACTATTCTTTAACCTTAGTTCAGGCTGCAAAGAGTTTTTCTTGGAGTCACTAAGAATTTTGTAAGAGAAAACAGACATTTTTACCTTTGGCAGGATGCCAAGATGATACTTCATAATAGAATTTATGAAGCTATAGTCTAGTAACTTGCAGGCTTTTTTAAAAGAAGGGGCAGGAGGTGGGGGGGAGAGAGGGAGAGAGAGGGAGGGAGGGAGAGAGGGAAGGAGGGGGAGAGGGAGGGAGGGGGAGAGAGAGAGAAGGGATAATTTAATACAAATCCCAAGTTCCAATACTTTCTATATTTTTTTAAAAATATAAGTGCTGCATCATCACTGAAGCAATTGAGAATTACCATGAAATCTCAACCAAGAATAGAATCAACCCAGAAGTTAGCAATTAAAAAAAAGAGAAGCACACAAGAATTTTTAAAAGTATTTTTATACTATATTAAAAAATCACAAAATAAAAAAGAAATCAATCAACATATATCTTAGAAGTCCTTCCAAGAGTCTCAGTATTCAACAGCCACAGAGGCCATTGCCTTTTTCTGTCTTTGCTCAGTCTGCAGCTCATTTAAGGATCATCAGAGATGACTCTAGTTCTTAAAATCAAACTTGTTCCGCCAAATCCAAGACCCTGAATTTATCCAAATTGTAGAAACATGCTTTTACCACCCTTCCACCAAAATACCTCCCATTCAGATCAACAACAGCTAAAAGGCAAACAAAAAGACAGTCAGTTAATACAGGTATCCTATAAGACAATGCATTAACTTTCAACAATAACTTTAAAATAAGCAAATAATAATAATCATTTCAATTATAATGATTAGGGTCACAAATTCAACTTTTAAAAATTCTTTAATATTTAGCTGTGCAGTTTACCTTTAATTGCTGATTCCACTCTCTCAAATTCTAAAAATATTCGTACTGCTTCATCGTCAGGGGCACCAGGAATCTGGAAAAGAAATTAAAGTACAATGAGTAAAGTTATCAATTGAGATATTATTTGTGTTGGAGTAAACTTATAAACAACAACAATAATAACAATAACAAAAAACCCAAAACTCTCTTACTTCAAATATCACACATTTTCCAACTTTGCCATATTTTTCACATTCTTCCTTGGTTTCAACTTCCAAGTCTTCATCTACCTCTCCTGCACCAACCATGTTCTATAAACAACAACAACAAAAAAATTCAACTAACAAGTATAATTTACGAATATGTAAGTTTTATAAATAAGAATATTTTTCAGTGTCAACTGTTCTTAATCCCAAATGACACAATAAAAAATCTATCCTTCAAGCACCCAAAAGATGGCATTCCTTTACACATACATTAGGCTTTGAAAAGTTAAATGAGCATCTATGCAAGCACCAAAATGTATGAACTAAGTGGAAGTTCTAGCAATTTCAAGTATTTTAAAGTAATTGGTCACTGACTTCTCAAACACTGTATTCAGCTTAGAAACGAATCTAAAAATCAGTCTTATATGGGATTCCCAAAGGCATTATTTGCAAAAGTATTATTTTCAGTTTCATTTTTAACTTTTACATTGGTGGAGGTGAAAGCATATGGGATAGAGTAGAACAGGGTGACACAAAAATCAAGGTAGACAGACAGGGGTTCCTTTCTTTTGCTTCTTACCCTCAGTAGGACCACTTTAGTAGGACACTTAAGTATTTCAGTTAATGGATTTGAATCTGACTTCTTGGATGCATCTGTATCAAAACATCATCAGACATGTTATAGAACTATTATAATGACTAATTCCAACAGCAATCTCCATCATTTTTGTCACTAAGACATACAAGCATCTATGCAATCAGTCTCTGCTACAAAACATTTGCTTTGCTTTGGTATGTTTTCATAATATTTTCTGGAAATTTCTAGTGTCTACCATTACCTGCAATTTTGTGCTCTTTGTGCTCTTCCTGACAGAGCATATGGATTACAACCCTTACTGGTGAGTTTTACCTTGGAGTTTAAAGTCCAAGATCACTAGCCTAGGACATTAAGCAGTTAATTATCTAGCCACTTGCTAATTCAGATACTGGGATAACTGTTGGCTTCTGGTACTAACAATTACACTGACTGGCTGCTTCCTATATAAGCTATGCAACAGGGCTACCAGAAGTGTTTTTTCCTATTTTAGGAAAGGGAATTCAGCTAAGTTAATCAAAATCAACATTTTTTTTTTTTTACTTAAAATGCCATGTTTTCTCATTCCCAAATGTTCCCAGTATAGAATTGACTATAAGAATCAAATGAAAATAAAAACACCAATTAGAACAAACTACAAAGTAATATAAGATCTTATAGAGCAAATAATCTCTAAGAAAATGAGCAACTACATCTATAATGAAAAGATAGGAAAAAGTAAAGAGCTATTGAAAAAGATGGAGGTAGAGCAGATATAATCACTGATAAAATGTGCATGTCTCTAATCTAAATGCTATGAAAACAAATATTTTATCAAGTTAAAAGGACTCTGTCTAGTCAAGGTAGGTATGAACTTATTTTCTCTACCTCTATTCTGAAAAACGAAGATCATTCTCAAGATTCTTGCCTTCCCAAACAGAAGTAGAAGTGCATCATTCACAAATTACCGTCTTTTGCCAGAAGGGAGGGTTGATCTCTCCCTCTGGGTTGAAGGATCAAGACTTCTCTGTGAACTTACCCTGAGACTCGCCCTTCTCCGTGGCATCACCCACAATGATCTTGCCGCCCCGCTTGCTGGTCTTCTCCACTGACAATGCGGTGCTCAGCCCCTGCTCGTGCTTCCCCAGACCCTGGCCTTCTCGGAAGCCATACTTCTGCATGATCTTATGTGCTACTGTACCACTAGGAGGGGGAAAATGGATAAGGGTCCTTACAGTAGATATTATCAACTATAGTATAAGTTGGACACCACAATAATCTCCTGGAGAGAGAAAGTATAAATTCCACAAAGGTCCTGATGAGGTCACATACAATGAGTAGGCCTTCAGATGGAAGCTGTGGAGATGTTTAGATCAAAGAAGTACAAATATAAAARGAAATACAAGCTAGGTATGGTAACACGCCTGTAATCCGAGTGGCTCAGGAGGCTGAGGCGTAAGCAACTTAGTGAGACCCTGTATCTAAATAAAATACAAAATAGGGCTGGCAATGTGGCTAACTGGTCAATTATTTGTGAGTTTAATACCTGGTACCCCCCCCTCCCAAAAAAAGACAAGAAACGTAAGCATAATCCAGGATATCCTTTGGTTAACTCTCAGGGAAATGCTAGTTTCTCTAGTACTGTTAAAAAACACTAGACTTCTTATGTATTCCCTGATCTGTACTGCTACATATCTTATAACTAGACTTATTTAAAACAGTGGTCTGTAAAAATATAAGTATGAAGTTTCAGATAATGAAGATAACTATATTTTTCTAAATAACAATATATTTCCAATGAAAGATTTTTATAAATTTAAGAACCCTTATGAGATCATCTACTGTACTTAGGAGGAATAAAATAACCAAGGGCAAGATAAGGTGACTAGCTTAAGACTGGCTAGAAGGTAAAGCAAAATGTCACATTTAGAAATTATTTCTATATTAGGGTATGGTGGTGCACGCCTGTAATCCCACAAGCTTGGGAGGCTGAGGAACAAGAATCACAGGTTTGAGACCAGCTTCAGCAACTTAGCAAGATCCTGACTCAAAATAAGAAATAAATAGGGCTAAACAGCCTAATACCTTTCACCTTCCACTGTGAGATGCTTGGTGGTCTCAAGGGCACTTTCCAACAAAGACTGCTGCTTAAGCTTGAATCACAAAACCTCGCTTCCACTAGAATTGTACCTACCTTTTTATGTACTTAGTTCTTTTTAGATTGTCTTTTGAACAAGCTATTCGAAGGGGGTAAAAAAGAAAAAAAAAGAAAAAGAAAAAAGAAACAACTGTATCTTACTTTCCTTTTTTCTTTTTGACAGCACGAGGGAACGAATCCATGGCTTCACACATGCCACTCTACCACCAAGCTATATCCCTAATCCTTTTTGAGATAGGTTCTAACTAAGTCACCCAGGTTGGACTGGAACTTGGAATTCTCCTTAGGCTCCCAAGTAACTGGGTGCCCATGTACCATTGTGCCCCATCCACTCTGCATTGTTTCTTTCTTTTCGGGGGGGGGGCAGAGGGGGGTACTGTGATTGAACCTAGGGATGTTCAACTATTGAGCTACATCCCTAGTCTTTGTTGTTTTTATTTTGAGACAGGGTCTCACTGAACTGCCCAGGCTTGCCTTGAACTTGCAATCCTCATGCCTCAGCTCCCCAAGTTGCTGGGGTTATACAGGTGTAGGCCATTGCACCCGCCACACTGCATGTTACTTTTTTTTTTTTTAGAATTTTTAAAAAATATTTATTTTTTTTTATTTATCGGCAGACACAACATCTTTCTCTGTATGTGGTGCTGAGGATCGAACCCGGGCTGCACGCATGCCAGACGGGCACGCTACTGCTTGAGCCACATCCCCAGTCCTGCATGTTTCTTTTTTTTTTTTTTTGAATTTTTAATATTTTTTATTTTTTAGTTCTCGGCGGACACAACATCTTTGTTGGTGCTGAGGATCGAACCCGGGCCGCACGCATGCCAGGAGAGCGCGCTACCGCTTGAGCCACATCCCCAGCCCCTTGCATGTTTCTTAATATAAGTTAAATATTAACTAAGTTAATGCTTGTTTAAAAAAAGGGAATTAAACTTACCAGTGATGGCAATGTTCTGCATCTACTCTGTCAAATACAGTAACCATTAATCATATGTGGTTACTGAGCACTTGAAATAAAGACTACTGTGACTAAAGAACTAAAGTTTAAGTGTTTGTTTTTCAAATTAATTTGATAACCACTTATGGCTAGTAGTGACCACATAGGTCTAGGATATAGAACACAAAGAAACTCAGGAATTCAAAATGCTCCTGAGATGCACAAATGCCAGTCATCTACTTTAACTCAGCAGCTACCTGAGGGTTTTGAGAACCAAAGCAGATGCAAAGAGGTACAGTGGCTCACTGGGATTACCATACCTGACTGTCTCATTAGTAGCATTTCTACTAGAGGGAGCATCCTGTCAAACAACACAAAACAAATACCTCAGTGACACTGTTTCATAGCCCCTTCATAGCATCAGAGTAAATAATATATAAGATTCTCTTATCTGAAATGCCAAATCCAGCAGGGTCAAAAAAAAAAAATCATAATTCTTGGGGCTGGAGATGTAGCTCCATGGTAGAGCTCTTGCCTTCTATGTGTGAGGCACTGGGTTCGATTCCTAGCACCACATATAAATAAGCAAATAAAATAAAGGTCTATCAAAAGCTAAAAGATATTTTTAAGAAAATTCATAAGTCTCATCTGAATACCAACCTTAAACTGATTTTTAGACCCTGGCAAACAAACGTCCAATTTTTGCCCCCCCCCCCAAAACCCAGGACCTCATGCATGCTAAGCAAACATTATACCACTGAGTTAGACCAAGGTTTTAAGTCAATAGTACATAACCATGACCTTACCACAAATGACCTATTTTGTGAGGAAAAGAAGATGTCACTTATCCTTTATAGATAACTGAAGAAAGCTCTAAATCACATAAGTTTTTTTTTGGAAATGTTATAAAAATGGGCATAAGAACACATAAATCAATCAAAACTTGTATTAGCTGTTTTGGAGAAAACTGTACTATCTTGGAATGTACTTCACATAACTTGAACATTAATCCTTGACCAAGGCACTATGTGACTGAACACACTCCAAGTTTCTCCTATAAACCAGAATGGCAGGGTCTCACTGGGTTGCTTAGCACTTTAATTTTGCTTAAGTTGGCTTTGAATTTGCCTTGTAAAATTGATTTTTTTTTTAACCTCCTGCCTTAGCCTCCCAAGCTGCTGGGATTACAGGCATGCGACACTGTGCCCAGCCCCAACATTATTTTACACTGTTTTTTACACTGTTCCTCAAACCATTTTTACACTTTCTTAAATGAAAACACTTAAACCAATAATACCCCATGTTAGCAAGGAAAGAGTTGCTAGGCCCAGTTGGAGATCTTGGTCTATCCTGTTCCTCATATACTGGCGGAGGAATAGCAGCTTTGGAAGACTGTGATCGAGGTCTTGAGTCCTCTTCATAAGGAAAATCTCGGGGTACTATTGGGGAAAAATAAAGTAGGTTCACAAAAATACTACGTGAAACTGTACTTTTATCAGTTAATTATCTTTAACTGGTTTAGCCAACATTTTTGTTTATCACAAGAAAAAACTCCCAATTTATAGTCTCTATTTTTTTTAACCCGAAGTAGAATAACCTTTGATTCTAACTGCCTCTACTTGTTCATATCCCCATTAAATGTCCTCTGACATCGACTGAAATATTACATATCCTTTGGAGTTTAACGACAATTCTTGTGTAAATCATTAAGATTTCCTGTATGCGCCAAAGAGATACAATATAATTTTCAGTTGACTCTCATAGCATCTGTGTACCTATCTTAAGACTCCAACTTATTTTCTCATTAGTCTCACAGATCATAAAGCTGTTTGAGTCAGGGACCATACACTGGAGCAGTGGTTTTCAACCCTCGTTACACATTAGAATTCAAAGGAAGCTTTAAACTACCCAGATGCTTGGCCTCATTCCCAGAGATTGTTTTCAACTGAGGTTTACTATATGTGAGTTATTTTCACATAATAGATATTTAATGATATTTTAATAGTACAACAGATATTTAAAAATACCATGGATAATTATATTTTCTTATGACAGCTTAGGTCTGGCCCAACCCACAGCATGGGGAAATGGTCAACATGATATTTAAAAACCTATTACTAAACCCCAAATTCTGGATAACTCAGTGGGAGAATAAGCGGTGGGAGGGCATGTTTTGGCAAAGTATCTAAAAGGACACACACCTGTTCTGAAACAATGCGGGGGTGGGGGGGGTGGGGGGATCAACAAAGGAAGGCACTGCCCTCTTGTGGAAGGTCATGAACATACTCAACTCCAAATGAACCTAACATGAATCTTGGGGAAAAAAATTGATTTAAAAAAATGGATTCTACTCTATAAAAACTTAAGCCTCAGAGCTTAGTATTAAAAAGGCTTAAGTATCAGGGATGTAAGGGAGCAATAGCCCCAAACCACTGCAGCCTCCAAGGTCAGAGCTAGGGGAGTGGTGTGCAGGTTGTTCTGCTCTAAATTCAGGAAACTGAGGGTTTCAAGCTTAAGATTTCCCACAGCTGGGTTAAAAATTTGTATTGGGGGGTGGAGAGTGGGGGAGAAAAGGATCTACATACGCTCTTTGTCTTTTTCGACAAGAGAAGTAGGCGGGGCGATGGCAGCTCCTCCCATACCTGTAAAAACATAAATGTAGTGATCAAAGGAGGGAAACCATTTCAGATACCAGAATCCCAAGAACTGTGATACAATTCAACTGTCATATTATCCACCCATACCATACTCCCAGAAGCAGAAAAGAGCTGCTACTTCATCCTTCTTTCTAATATCTACCTTTAGATTAAACATCTAAAGATAAGATGAAAAATGTAGAAAACTGGGGCTGGTGCTGGTGTTGGGGCTGAGTGATAGAGTCTTGCACACATGAGGCACTAGGTTCGATCCTCAGCACCACATAAAAACTGGCAACACCTAGAGAGATAAAATTGTTTTTTTTTTTTTTTCAAAAGGCACTCAAAAGTCCCAGAATATAATTGCCAAGTGAATTTTTAGGCAAAACTACACAATCCAGAGAACCAGTACTTACTTAAAAGAGAATAATATAACTCAAAGTAACATAATTTATCACTGTGTAATAAGATACACATACATGACTAGCATATACATGAGCTCATCTAGGCTTCATAACCCTTGGAAACAGGTGTTTCCAGTTTACAGATGAGAAAATAGAGTGAATCTATCAGAGCATCTATTTGGAAGTATGGATCCTGGTTCCTGAAAAACCTGTTAGATATTGTCACTATTCCTGTTTGTGTTTCCTGGATGGAAAATGTAGATACAAAAGAACCAAAAGATAAGAGAGATCTTTCCATTTGCCTCTGTCAATCAAAGGACATGAATGGAGATTATAAGAAATTTTTATTAGGGATAAACTATACATAATGCATATGGCTTAACCATCAATGAAATAATTTTTTAAATACAAATTAAAATTGGCTACAAAAGTATTCTGCATGAACACAAAATGTTTTACAGTGGAAATTACTCTAAAGCCAATATAGATGCATAATAATGACAGAACTGAATGACAGCAATTATTTAAGGAGAAATATGAACCTAAAAAAACCTTCTTATATTTCTTTTTTTTTAAATTTTTAGATATTTTATTTATATTTTTTTAGGTGTAGATGGACACAACACAATGCCTTTATTTTTATGTGTTGTGGTGCTGAGGATCGAACCCGGGTCCCACCCATGCTAGGCGCTCTACTGCTGAGCCACAATCCCAGCCCTTATATTTCTTTTCAATCTTGTTATTAAGACCAAGAGTGATTACTGATGGACCCTGACAAGCACAAATTAGTGCTAGTAACTTCAGTATATTGAAAACTTGCTACTATCAGGTTAAAATATAAGCATCAACTATTAATAGTAGTACAATAATCTGCAGGGGTATATTCCAAATATTCAAATGAATATCTAACAATGAACCCCACACAAAAACTATGTTTTTTCATATATCATATGATAAAGTTTAATTTATAAATTGGGCACAATGAGATTAACAATAGTTAAATAAAATAATTATAACAATATATTCTAATGAAAGTTATGTGATATCATCTCTCTCAGAATATCTTATGTATGGCACTGTATAGTAATTTTCAGAACTTAGTTGATAACAAGTAACTCAAAACTTCAGGAAATGAAAGGGCGGTAAGGTGGGACTATTGTGCACATCATGAATATAATGCTGCTACTTCTCTAATGTTAGCCAAAAGCCAGTCAAACACAAAGTCTTTCATTAGAAACTATAGTTCTTGCTAATGTTTAATAAATTAAAAAAAAAAAAATGTCCTCAATATAGAAAGCMCACCTCCTTCCAAGAAAGAGAGTCAATTTTTAGACTGGAAAAGGAGATCTACAAATATTCAAAGATCTACAAAACATATTAATAAAAACAAACAATAGTTGATTAAGATAATGGACATAAAATGTGTAACACCAACGACTGACAGATACACAGATGCACTCAACAAATGTTAACATTACACCTCATTTAAAAAAAATTACAATGGCTAATAGGGCTCAGCATATAGTTAAGTATAAATGCATTTAATTCACAATTTACATTTAAGGATTTGAGTTTTAAATCATAAACTTGTTCTTTTAACTCAACAGGTTATTTTTAAAATTTAAATTCATCCTAAAACACCCTTTTCTGTATGCTTGGGAAGACCATTCTCAGCCAAACTGCTGTTCATATAACAGAATTACATATGTAGCAATATGACAAGCTTCATGAAATTACATAGATTTTGTGTTAAAGATACCATATTATAACAAGGGTTTCAGGCAAAAAAAGATCTTGGATAAGGCAAAATATGCCTCCAGGTCTCTTACTCTTACAATGGGAGAAGGTAAAAGAGCCTGCGAGTTAAAGGAGATAGCATGAGTGAGGCACTGGGTTCGATTCTCAGCACCTCATATAAATAAATACAATAAATGACCATTGACAACTAAAAAAAAAATTTAAATCTGTCAACCAAACTAGTCAACTAAATCAAGGAAATCTCAGCAATCAAAACAATAAGAAGCTCTCCATTCTCTCAATCCCCTTACATACTGCTGGTAGTTAAGAATATATCTTTTAAAAAAAATTTTTTTAATTGTTGATAGACCTTTGTTTTATTTATATGTGGTGCTGAGAATCAAACCCAGTGCCTCACACATACCAGGTAAGTGCACTACCACTGAGCCCCAGCCCCAACTCCAAGAATATATCTTAAACACAACTATAATTCTGCTTACAAAATTCTAGTGATAGAAGGGGCCTTAAAAAGCACCTTGTGCTAATTCCTGTCTCCCTTGTGACAAGTAAAAGAAAGCAACATTCCAAGAAACCAAGTGTTTTCCTCAAATCCATGCATGTTTGTTACTAACATGCTCTAGAGATAGTGTCTTGATTCAGTGCTGACAAGAACTGCAACTAGACTTTAGAAAAGAGGCAAAAATAACTGTATTGCAGATAAGGAAAAGAACAGGAACAAATTTTATGCTACTTTCAAAGTAATAAATAAATGTTAGAAAGTTTGTGAMGCCCAAAGGATAATATATGAGAAAACAATATAAGCTGAAACTGTCATGCAATTGTAGACTGCTGGGATTCTAAAGAAAAAAATCACCTGAAACAATGTCAAATGAACAATTCATCAAATTAAATGTGCAAACAAACAAAGGGACTGTGCCATGTTTAAAACATTATTTATGTTCATGCCTTACTTCTTTTCCTCCTTTCTCGCTCATAATCTTCATCCTCATCAGAATCTGGATCTGGTCGCCTTGAAAACCCACTAGCTTCGTGTCTGTCTTTACGCCTCCTGTGATAACAAAGGAAACCAATACTTATCACAGATGAATCGATTTTCAGGTATGAAGCTGGAATGAAGTCACCTTGACTTCCTCTTGGCCAGAAAATATCTGAAACCTCTTTCACAATAAATTATTAATTTGTGAGGTGGGGTTGGAAATAACCAATTAAGATTAAAGTAGCAAAAGTATAAAAAGTGAGAAAAATTCAAAAGATAAACTGAACAAAACTTAATAGGTGCCAGGTGCAATGGCACATGCCTGTAATCCCAGCAGCTGGGAAGGCCAAGGCAGGAGGATCACAAGTTCAAGGCCAGCCTCAGCAACTTAAGTGAGTCCCCGAGGCAACTTAGTGAGACCATGTCTCAAAATAAATAAATAAATAAAAAGGGCTAGGGATATGGCTCAGTGGTGGCATCTCTGGTACCAAAACAAAGCAAAAAACAATAGGTACATAAGTATAAATTGTAAGAAAGTTTTCTTGACTTTTAAAGCACATAAATATAGTAATAGCTTAATTAATTAATTAATTAATTTTAATTCTCTAGGATATATATTTACTAATGATCCAACAAATGGGAAACAAAATATTATCATTTAATATATTAATAATTTGATATTTAAAAAATTAAAAATCTAACTACATTACCCATACTTTTCAAAAACAAAAATAAAAGATATGTAAGTTTAAAAAAATTCCATCTGAGGGCAGGGGATATAGGTCAGCAGGAGAGTATTGCTTCCCATTCACAAAGCCCTGGCTGGGTATGATCCCCAGTACTGGGGGAAAAATAAAATTCCATCTGATTCAAAACTAGAAAGAATAATATTTAAGTATTTCAAAGAGTTATAATTTTAGCAGTCATAGCATAGGGGAAAAATATCCTTCAAAATCAGATTTTTATTTTTTTAACTTACCCAAAATTTATACATTAGTTTTTTAGCATTTATAAAGAACTACTGAAGAGCTGGGGTTATAGCTCAGTGGTAGAGCACTTGCCTAGCACGTGTGAGGCACTGGGTTCAATCCTCAACACCATATAAAAATACATACATATAGGGCTGGGGTTGTGGCTCAGCAGTAGAGCGCTTGCCTAGTGTGTGTGAGGCCCTGGGTTCGATCATCAGCACCACATAAAAATAAATAAATAAAACAAAGGTGTTTTATCCAACTACAACTAAAAAAATAAGTACTTTTAAACAAATAAATACATATATACATAAAATAAAGGTATTGTGCCCATTTACTACTTAAAAAAAAACAAAACAAACCCCGCAACCTTTGGAAGGACTGGGATAGAGTGTAGCTCAGTGGTAGAGTGCTTAGCTCAAGGTCCAGGCTTCAATCTCCATTATTATCCCCCCACTACCACCACCACCACCAAAGGAATTGCTGTGGTTTGTTATCAGGGTGGGATATAACAACAAATTCTTAAAAACAATGTGATTCCTTCTGCTGATTAGTCAAATCAACCATGGTAACTAACTTCAGTCCTAGAGATAGGACTAAAGTTCATTCATTAATATTGTAATGAACATTTCAACAGCAAATTATCCAAATTCAAGTGAAATCTTACTTTTCCCTTTCTTCTATTTCCTTCTGTCTTTCCAGCTCCCGCTGCCTCTGTCGTTCCTCTCTCTGGCGCTTCACCACTTTCTCATAATCATTAGGAAACATAGGATCATATTCATCAGCTAAGGGAATTAGAACTTCCCCTGCAGAAAACCCACTGGGAACAGGGTCCTGAGGAAGGTAAAATATCAAAGTAAATATTATATTTATATCTCAAAATTACCTTAAAGAATTATGGTCAAGAATGAGATAAAGAGACCCTAAAGATCATGTAGGACCCAAATACAATTTTATAGAAGGGAAAACAAATGCCTAAGAACACCATACCTAGCTAGGTGGCAGCAGAACCTTGATAGAGAATGCCATCTCTTAATTTAGAACTATTTTCCTAACAGACTATGGCATTTATCAGGAACTCCTACATAAGCCATCTTTAACTAAAATTTTAAACACTAGCTCTTTGAAACAAAAAAATATTATTGCCAGGAGGTGCACACTTGTAAGTTCACGGCCAGCCCAGGCAACTTAGCAGAAATCTGCCTCCAAATAAAAAATGCTGGGAACTCAGTAATAAAGTTGTTACTCAGTAGTAAAGCATCCTTCTGTTCAATCCCTAGTATGGGATTGGTAGGGGTGGGGGAGGGAGAGGAAATTATTTATGAAAAGCATTGAATAACTTAAAAAAAAAAAACCTCACGAACAACAATCATTCTTAAAGTCATCATTCAGTAGAATAACTTTAGACTCTGTTTACATGGAAATAATACTGATTTCAGAAAGTATCCTCTTGCTCTAAATTCTCTGGAATATTCACTGCATTTCAGGCACCAAGTTTTGACACAGACATAATTTTGTTAACAGCATCATAATTTTTTAAGGCTCACTAAGATTAGATATGACAGCATTTTATATTTTCTCTAGAAGCTTGGACTGTTCTTTGAGAAATAGGAGTAGCCTTAAAAAATTGGAAAAACAAAAGGAAGGGCACACTATTGAAACAAACTTTACCATGGGTGGGTAGCTTCAACCTACATGTGGTTCTGTGAGCTTAGATGCAACAACTTTCCTTAGACTCCAGACATTCTTTTCTTAGMTTTCTTAGCATAACTCTTCCTTATCTCTAAAAATAAGTTGCTTTCCTTGGTTTACACAGATGCCTTGAGTAAGCACAGGTTAGGATTAATGTCCTTAAGTGTTCAAGTCTTTACCTCTTTCAGAAAGTACACTATCCAGTAGTATCACAGCCAAGATTTTACTGTCTGTAAAATGTATTTTGTATTGGAGATCAAAACTGATATGAGGTCTGGGGTTGTAGCTCAATGGTAGAGCACTTCCCTAGCACGTGCTGAGGTTGATCCTCAAAAAATAAACACATAAAATAAAGGTGTTGTATCATCTACAACTAAAAAATATTTTTAAAAAGCTTGATATGATCAACATAGCTTGTATTCAATATCAACAGATCTAAATCTAACTATTCCTGTACTATACTATTGAGGTTTGCCGTTCTGCATTAAAAACAAATGCAAACCACTTCCTTATGACTAAAATTAGGAAACTTTATAATCTGGTAAAAGCGATCAGAAAAATAACCATAATCACCATCCAAGTCCTATGACTGGAAAATTTAACAAGGGGTTCCCAAAGGACCCATAAATTTGTATTCAAATAGAAGATGTTTTCAAAAGACAAGCACATAAATGAAGTTTCTTTTTAGTCATTAAGACTGGAGAGTGAATTAACAGTCACTCACTCAATATATATAATACTATTATCACAATGTACCCAAGAGAACAAATTGTCAACATGAAGGTTGATTTTTGGTCATTTCAAAATTTGCAAGGAAACAACTTTTACATTATAAACCCTGCTAAGCTTAATAATGACCCACTCTCATCTCTTAAAGTACGCAACATTCCCAGCACTCATTGACCCCACCCCCATAAAAATTTGAGATAGGTCTCATTAAATTGCCAAGCTGGCCTCGAACTTGCAATCCTCTTGTCTCAGCTTCTCAAGTAGCTAGGATTACAGTGTGCATCACCATGCCTGACTTAAACCACCCTTTTTCAAATGTTTTAAATAAAGCAGGACTTGGGTTGTAGCTCAGCAGTATAGCACTTGCCTAGCACATGCAAAGCAGTGGGTTCGATCCTCAGCACCACAAAAAAATAAAAAAAGAATAAGGCAGTTTGCTCAATTAAAAAAAAATTAAAATGTGAAAACCCCCAAACTGGGGAGGGAAGAATGTAGTAAAATTAAAATACTGATATATTGTAGGTGATACTGACTACTGTTAGAAACAAGCTGGACCTAAAACAAACTGACCATAGAAATAACTGATCTCTTAAATGCCACCTTAGGAAATCAACCCAAAGAAAATAACTATAAACACAGCAAAAGCTCTCTGAAGAGTTCACTAAAGTGTTAACAGTATATTTTACAATTAAAAATCAGTCATGAAAACTCTGTGTAAGAAGAAAGAAAAATGCTTATGATTAACTGGGGTGGCGATGGAAAAAAATATTATAGGTGTTAGAATTACAATTACAAAAAGATGATGAACCAATTTTTTATTAGATATAGTAAGAAAAAAATAGGTATCAAATTTATGAAAAATAGAAATGTTAAATGACTAAGAATCAGCAAAAAGCTACCTCCACTGGGGGTGGAGGTATCAGTCCTCTTGAGGGATTACAGCCCTCAGAAGCAGCACCAGCTTCTGTGGCCAGAAAAGGTTACCAAGAGGTAAGCTGCCACCTATCTCAGAATGAGAGCAAGAAGCAAAAAACCCTAGGGGAGAGACAGAAACAGAGACAGAGAGACAGAGACAGAGAGAGAGAGAGAGAGAGAGAGAGAGAGAGAGAGAGAGAGAGAGAAAGAAGCCAGGACAGTGTCTCTCAGTCTGATTGGCCCTTTCTAATGGAGGAAGGAGGAGAGGGGCCATGACAAAGGAACCATGGCAGGGGTATTTTGCTTGGAAAAAGTCAACAATAACAGCATTATCCATTATTAATCTTTTGACTACTTTTCGTCAAGCAATTTTGTGCAATGCACAGGACTGTTTATAAACTACCAGTTGTATTATTTGAATGCCATCTATAGAAAGATAACTATATACCTAAAGAGTGGACATATTTTAACTACAGTTTATATTAAATTCTTTGTACTTTATATTGCCCAGTTTTAATAATTTTGAGTTATCCTTTTTAATCCTTATTAACCCAGCTTATAGAGAGCTTACCATGTCTGTCTGTTTTTAAGCTTACGTAAAATCACTGGGATAATAAAGGTTGGTGTAGTAGAAGAGTTTGTGTTTTTCTCAAACCTCTTCATTTTAATAAACCTCTTTATTTTAATCCACAGTAAAATAAGCACCAACACTGTTGATGACAGCACAAATTAGAAACGACTTATCCAAATTATAGTACATTCATATTAGGCAATACATATTAGGATCATACAGTCCTATATTTCATGACTAGTCATAACACATTAAGTGAGAAAAGCAAGTTAGAGAAAAGAATGAAGATCATATTAAGTGAGAAAAGCAAATTAGAGAAGAATGCTGAGAAGCCATATAATAGAAAGACATTCTGAAATTCAAAGTTTTTAATTTCTGGAGGGTAGGACTGAAAAATTGTTTTTCTTTTTTGCATATCTCTAGTTTCTAATTGTTCTATAACTATTTTAAATAGATAAATGTTTTTAAATTGAGAAAACAAAAAAAAATAAAAAATAAAAAAAAAATAAAAAAAAAAAAAATAAATTGAGAAAACAAAAGCAAAAACTAAGTTGGAAATAATACTACTTAAAGGCCTACTGAATAGACAATCTATTAAAGAGTAACACACTTGTAAAACAATATTGTATGAAAAGCAGGATAATGTTATCAAGATCACAGGTACACAGGGGTATATAGGCTTACCTTCAGGCCAGCTGCTACATGTGGTGGTGTGTCCACAATTTGCCTGTCATCTGATGAGCCACCTCGCTTTAGATCAATGACTGGGGCAAGGACTGTACTTTGTTTTGTCCTCTGGCTCTAAAATCATCACAAACAAGAAAAAGTATACTGAAGTTTCAAAATAAAATTCATACTATTTGCAACATGTTTTTTTCTGGTCTCAAAACTTTTTAAGACGTGAAAATCATAATCTCAAAACAACAGCCTTTTTTAGTCAATCATTACTATATCATACACTTTCTCTTTTTAATTTTATTTTGAGACAGGGTCTAGCTAGTCGTGTAGGCTGGCCTCAAACTTGAAATCCTCCAGCCTCAGGCTTCTAAGTAGCTGGGAGTGGCCAATGCACCCAGGAAATCATACACTGTTTTCTTCAGTCTGTTAAGAAACACCAGATTTCCTTCAGTTTTTCTGAAAGATTTATAGTAAACTTGGTCATGCTGATTTAAATTTACATGTGAAAAATGTGAAAGCTCCTTCAACCACAGGATGACAAATCTGTAGCACATTACACCTTAATTTTGTGGCTCTTTCACAAAGAATGGGTATGTTTTGATTTAATGGGCAAAAGATACTTAAGGATTAATGGGGTTTTCTCTCCCACTAGGATATATAATCCTTCCCTACCTCTTTTACTATGAACTTATAGAAAAAATTTTAAGAAGACAATAGGGGCTGGGGTTGTAGCTCATCAGTAGAGTGCTTGCACGTTGTGAGGCCCTGGGTTTGATCCTCAGCACCACATAAAATAAATAAATAAATAAATAAAGGTATTCTATCCAATAACAACTAAAAAATAAATATTTTTTAAAAAAGAAAACAATGATTATTCATATACATTCAGCCTGTTAACATTTTGTCATGTTTTCTTTATCCTATAACTGTATTTTTGTTGAACTGTTTGTAAAAAAAAAAAAAGCAGGAGACATCATGACTTCAAACCCCTAGTTCCCCCAAACTATGGAAATTCTCCCACAAAACCAAAATACTTTTACCACAATAATGCCTCTGTATCATTTCCTATCCAATTCATATTCAGACTTTCTAAGCTAAATTTTATTTTTTATATATATATATATATACATAAAATATGTGTCTTCTTTTGAAATAAAAAATTAGGATTCTATCAAAGTTTATGAAACTAGTTTGGTTTATAAAGGTCTTGATTTAGAACAGTTCTTCTTTTCTGTAGTTACTACCACCATCCTCTCCTTCCTTTTTTTCCTCTGATACTGTCTTTTAAAATGCTGCATAATCTAGATCTAATAACTTCTTGGTGATCTAGTTTAACTTATTCTTCTTCACCCTGTTATTCCTGAAAACTCAACATTAAAGGTTTGATTTGGTTCAGGATAAGGCTTTTAGGTCAGAATACTTCACAAGTGAGGACAGTGTATTTCATCTGCATCACACCAGCAGACACAGTGTATGATGCTATCTACCAGTTTATCAGGTACCTGGGAATTGTGGTGACTCAGATGCAAAAAACGCAATCCAATGATCAAATATGTAAGTCATAAAGTGAACACCAAAAGTTAACTGACAGGGGGGTTATCAGGATCATGATTTTTCTATTTTTTTTTTCTATTTGGCATGTATTTTAAAAGAGATACAAATGAAACCACAGTTCCATATTTTAGCTACAGATAAACTTTTCTCCATCAAATACCTTTATACATTGGCTTAGGTTAAGCTAATACTGAGTAATTCATTAAACAGCCTGAGAATCAATGCAATGTAGTTCAACTTCCCTTCAAGAAAATAACCATACATATAGTAATCTCAAAATTTATATTAGAAAGCAGAAATGATTTATCAAGCAACTTTTTTTTTTAACCAATTAAAATCTCTGGAAATCTCAAATCTCAAAGACAGATTTCTGACATTAAAATACTTGGAGAAGTAAAAAGACAAATATAAATTAAAAAGACTGAAGTAAACACTGAAGCGGGTATACACTGAGAGCTTAGACTTCATATAAAAACAATTTCTTAAAGTATAGGTACTAGGGAATGAAACAGATCAAATTATTCTGTTATATTGTGTGCAGGTATAAGAGTTAATAATGGTGGAATTTGCTAGACACAGAAAGTAAGGAAGAAGTACAGTGGGCAGGAAGAAACAAATTATCTGCCATTTTAAAAGATGGGTGCAATACCTGTCAACTTTTAGGTTGGCAAAAAAGAATTATATAAATAAGTTTTTTGTTTTATTTTTTTATTTTTTATTTTTTTGGGGGGGAGGAATGGTACTGGAGATTGAAGCCAGTGACTTTGGCATGTAAGCAAGAACTACACTCCCAACCTCCAAGAAGTGTTTTATATTCAGTCTCTCCAGTTGTATCTTTTGTTGGCTTCTACTTTTCAATTTCCTGTTGGAGTCATTTCACAAAAAAGATTAGACTTTGAAGAATAAAATATACTAGTGAAAGTGGGGACACACACCTGTAATTCCAGCTACTTGGGAGGCAGAGTCAGGAGGATCACAAGTTCAAGGCCAGCGTGGGCAGCCTAGCAAGACCCTGCTTCAAAATAAAAAGAGCTGGGGAATGTAACTCAGTGGTAGAGTATCTTTAGGTTCAATTCTCAATACCACAAGAGGGGGGAAAAAAAAGAATGAAATACATGAAAAGTTACTGGTATTATAACCTAAAACTTTAATTATGCTTCTTATGTACAAAGCAAAATTTACATGAAATTTAGAGAGATTTTAAAATTTTTAAAAATCTGTTGTGCTAATATTTCTTTTACTTGGGATGAAAGTTTGCTTTAAAAAACAAATGTCTCTTCAAAAAACAAACAAACAAACAAACAAACAAAAAAGACACTAGTGGAAAGAGAATCGAAAAGTTCAAGGACAACCTCAGCAACTTAGCAAGACCTTATTTCAAAATAAAAAATAAAAAGGACTGGGTATATACCTCAGTGGTAAAGTACTCCTAGGTCTAATCCACAGTTAAAAAAAAAAAAAAACAACAACAACAACTTGGGGCTGGGGTTGTGGCTCAGTGGTAGAGCGCTTGCCTAGCATGTGCAAGGCCCTGGGTTCAATCCTCAGCACCACATAAAAATAAAATAAAGATATTGTGTCCAACTACAACTAAAAAAAAAATACTAAAAAAAAAAAAAAAAGAAAAAAAGAACCTAACTTCAAAAAACCTCAATCTGGTAATGTGATAAATTTAGAGAAAAACAAACAACAACAAAACTAATCAACAGAACAGACAAAACAAAACACAAATTTTAAGACTGCTTCCTCTATGGGTATCCTTACTCGTACTCTGTGATATCRAACAATCAAATATAAGTACTTCAGTGTATCTACTGATGCTGTGATAAATGAAAAACAAAAATAATTAGAATTTTAAAAATCAACTCAGTTTTATTTCCTGTTAAGCCCTATCGCCTCTGCCCAAGACTGGGTTATTTTTGAAGGAAATCCTGTATGAAATAATTTTATCAGTAACTATTTCAGTGTGTACCTCCTACAAACTTTTTCTAACTTTTCTTTCACTACTGCCTCCCTTGTGTGGGTTTCTTTTTTTGGTACTGGGGATTGAACCCAGGGGTACTTTACCACTGAGCCACACCTAATCTTTTTTATTCTGAGATTTCACTAACTTGTTTAGGGCCTTTTCAAGTTGCTGAAGCTGGCCTCAAAACTTGCGATCCTCCTGTCTCAGCCTCCTGAATCACTGGGATTACAGGCATGTGCCAATGCACCCACCTTAAGGAGACCTTTAATATGTTTCTCCCTGCTCCGTGACATTTTAAAACTAAAGACACACTACATATTTGTTTACATATAATATTTATATCTGTACTTATACACAAATATAAATACAAAGAACAAGATCTTTTCATCCCTTAAAGACAGATATTAGCCCCATTAGAGGGAATATAATCTCTATTCGGATGTGTGCTCTGAAACATAAGGACCCTTAAACAATAAGCAAAGCATAATACCATTTTCATTCCTAAAAATGAAATTCAACAGTAACATTTTAATAACTACCTAGTCAACATGTGTTTTCAATGTTAAATTATTTCAAGGATATTGCCATGTGCTACACATATACAACAGGAAATAAAGCAATTCCCATCAAGACTACCTATGCCTGATCCACTCATAACCATGTGAGCCCCAGTGATGTATACAATATTTTCTAGAGCTTCTTCTAAAGCACCTGCAACAAACCAAAAGGATGCTACTTAAGAATTCACACTCCTGAGGCCCCAGCCCAGAACCAGAAAGTACCAAAATGTTAGGATCATAGCTATAAAATCAGCATTTATAAACAAACTCTCAAAATAGTGCTCTCACTGTGCTGAAAAGTTGAGAGCACTATTTTTCTTCATTCTTATTCCAGGAAATAGTTCCCAAGAATCAGGAAAAGCAAAGAGATCTTAAATTCTTCATGCCTCTTCCCCATGACTATCTCATATTATTTATCCAATAAAAAAGCAGAACACTCTAAACCAAACTATTTTAACCCTAATGAGGAACATGCTCTGCAGACTTCTGATTTCCCTCTCTGGGCTTGTTTTTACCTTTGCTTGCAGAACACTCTAAACCAAACTATTTTAACCCTAATGAGGAACATGCTCTGCAGACTTCTGATTTCCCTCTCTGGGCTTGTTTTTACCTTTGCTTGCAGAACACTCTAAACCAAACTATTTTAACCCTAATGAGGAACATGCTCTGCAGACTTCTGATTTCCCTCTCTGGGCTTGTTTTTACCTTTGCTTGAGTGAGAGCTGCTTTCTTCACCTGAAGCTGAGACTGCAGAAGTTTAAAGTTTTTGGACCAGCCTTCTGTTTTTGAGTCACTGGTCTCTACTCCCAGGTCATCATACAGGGACATCTTTTTAGTCTAATGCTGAAAGGGAAGCAGTATGGAGATTAAAAAACATAAAATACAGTAAAGATTCTGAACCTTTTCATGGACAATTAGTGCCATGAAATTTTAGAGGTAAAAGGTCCAGGGTCCTTCAACAAGAGTGGCCAAGACCCCTAATTTCACCAAGGTTGGGTTCCTAATAATACATGAAACTATACTCATGCAATATTCACAAACAGTCCTGTAGAGTTAATTCTATTAGATCATGTAGTCAAGTAATTCATGAGTAAAATTCTTCAGTTCTACAGAATATAATGAGGTAAGATGGAAGTTCAAGATTCATGGCATTATTAAATATACAGCCAATATTTTAACTTTCATTTAAGTTAATGGCAAAAAATAGAAACTTTATATAAAAGACCAGCTACCAAGTTGGTTTAGCACAATAAAGAAAAAAATTAAAACACATTCCTAGAAAAAAAAGAAAAAGATGAAATATCATTTCACAAATGCTGTAATTTTGTACATTATGATTTCTGAGGGAGTAGATGCACTGCATCTTAAATACTGTGACCTCCTCATAACCAGAGATAATCAATAATCTACATAAGATTGTTGCAATATACAATACCCTTGCAAAACAGAAATTCATAGTAATAACAAGAAATGGTAAGGGTTATACATCGTGTACAACCATAGAAGTGTAAAGTTGTGCTGCAATTGTGTACAATGAATCAAAATTCATTCTGCTGTCATATATACCTAATTAAAATAAATTTTAAAAAAGAAAGGAAAAGAAATGGTAAGGGTTAAGCACTTGCTAAACCTTGTCAGGCCAGGCATATTAAATGTAGTATCAGTACATTTACACTTCCCTACCACACATACGCCTGTTGGAGTTTGAGTTTCCTTTTCTTACTTCTCAGACCTCCCATTATAGATACTCTAAGAGGCTGCTACCCCAGTGACTTCTCTGACCTTAGTCCACATTGCTTTAGGTGGGGAACAAGGAGCACATAAACTTTTACTGGCTCAGAATGGCTTTTCTGGTCTCAGTACTCAATGAAGTCAGTACTCTAAGATTAAACAACTGCTTTTTTTCCAGGTTTCTTTCATTTCTTCATTCATGAACCCTGAAATTACTCAAACTTTCTCCATTTTAATTTTAATTTTTAAACAAGAAGTGTTGAAGCTGGCTTTATTAAAGCAGAGTACATGGGATAAAAATGGAGGCAAATCTATAGATTATCCTATACTCACCAGCTCAGATGACAGCTGTATCCCCAAACAGGGAAGGCCCACTGCTTTCAGAGCCAAAGTCAAAGTTTGGTCATACTTTGACACTAGGCTTAAGGCAGTAAGGCCAAATCAAAAAGTAATGAAATTAACTCCATCTCTTGGCAGCTACAGCTGAAATACAATCATGTCTTGAAAGGTTTAAAGGGAATCCCCTGGGGATCTACTTCTAAACCTATTTTAAATTATCCTACTGTAAACTATTTCATGAAAATCAAAATCCAGTGTATCCCGTCCACTGCTCTACTCCCAGACCAAGATCAATGTCTAACCCAGCACTGAAGAGGTAATTAGGCCAAATGCACACTTTACTTGCAAAGCCCTCCCAATCATCTCCTTAGAGATTTCTGGCCAACAATTACTTTGGCCAGAAGGAAGATCATTGCATCAAATGGCTTCTGGGCTTTTGTTTCAGCTTTTCTTCCAGCTCACCTAGATTTCAAAATTCATTGTTTATAGATACATATCCCCTGAACTTTAACAGGAAAAAAAAAAAAAAAAAGATCAGAGCAAGGAAAAACAATACCAAATGCCCAACAGTTACCACTGTACTTCTCAAAAAAAAAAAAAAAAAAAAAAAAACCTACATCAAAAATGACTTTACCTCCTTTCACCTAACTTAATCTTTTGAGCCTTTTTTTATTCACTTGGTTACCAAACTAAAGCCTAATAAATCATGGTCTCATATGTTCCTTTTTATTCTTTTTTAAAAAATATTTTTACTAGTTGTTGATGGACTTTTTTTTCCTTATTGTGAGGCTGAGAATCAAACCTCACAAAAATCACATGTGTGAGGCAAGTGCTCTACCACCAAGCCACAACCCCAACCCCCTTTTTATTCTTGAAATGGCAAGAGAAGACAAATGCAATCTAAAAAACAAATATAAACAGTAATGCTTTCTGGGAAGTCACAAAGTTATGACCAAAAAAACAAAAAACAAAAAAACACAACCCAAACCAAACTATACTTTAGATATGTATCTCTCAATATTTCTTCAAAAGAAACACCTCAGGACAAAAAAACCACACTCTATCATATGTGATTTTTTCCCCCTGAATCCCATTCTCATTATTACCTTGCTTCCTTTTTTAATATAAATTTATTTACTTAGGTTGAGTATATCTATTTCTTAAGATGTGTATATAGTAAGCATTTATGAATATACCACACTTTAACTTTCCCCACTGCAACTATTGAAATGTAAGTGCATTAACAAGACTCTACCAAGACCCAAACTTAATCTAATTAATGTAATATTATAGATGACCATAACATATTTATTTCATGAAGTCCAGTGCTAAGGAATAAAAAGCAGAACATTTTAACATTTGGATATACTGTAAGAAGCCAAGATCAAATATAAATAAATACAAGTAGCTGGTTTTTATAATTCTTTAAAATATCTACTATTTAGTTCTTGTTTATGGCAGCACTAAGTGTTGATCACTTCATCTTTCAAGTATGTCTCAATTTTTAAAGAAACAATAAATATGTTCCTACCAGAATTAAACAAGAATGACTTTTCAAGATTCCATTTAAGCTGCAAAGTGTTTTTCATAACATGTCCAACTGGCAGGAGACAAGAACATGGAAGAAATCTTCTCAGAAGCATCCCACTTATTTTTTCCAAGTGCATCTTAGAAGTCTTTAGTGACTACTACCCTCACATAAAATTAACTATCCATGATTAATTTTCCTTGAATATAACTAGATATTCACAACACTGCAGTTTTTACATGTTTTGCTGCTTAATGGTTTACACCCATCTGTCTCTTCCTATACAATGAACCCCTGAAAGGTAGGGATTCTTTAACTCTTCATATTTATATCTCCAGCTTATCACCATGCCTGGAACACTGTAAGCACTGTATAAACATTTTATAAGTGTTTCAGAGAGTGGAGAGAATATGCCAATTCATCTATTTAAAACAGTAATATCTACAGATCTGCCTTCTAAGGACACAGGTAAGTAGAATTGGTGTAATAAAACTTAAATTGTATACACAAATTAATGAGAGAAAACTACCATTACCATACAACTAAATAATGAGTGTGGGTCTGAGTTCTGAACACCTAGAGATGTAAGCTTGGTAAGAACAAATTTTTTTTTAATCACTAAATAAATATTCAAGCATAAAATGAGACTTGCATAAACGACGCCTGAAGAATATGGCAAATGTACACAGAAAGAAACAGAAATAGAAATAAGAAGCATGGTTCACTTTGATGTTCACCCAATATACAACTATAACATGCATCTGTCTCATGTATAGTTTTTATGACTTTTTAAAGAATTTAACAATTTTTCCTATTACTCTTCTTATGCTACACTTGTCACACTTCAGTATTTTCTATTACTCTGATGCTCTGCTATTACCAAAATAACAGCCCTGAGCATACAACAAACCTCTTAAGAGTCACCTGTAACTTGGGTGTGTAACAAAACAGCCTCCTCTATTTACTATTGTGCAGGATTTGAGGGGTTAGTGATGGAAAGAGGTCTGAAAAATTCATGTGCAGGGAGAAGCTGGAAGTTAATTAAAACAAACCAAATGAAAAAATGCCAGTTTATACAAAGCTACATTTAGGAATGTACAGAACCCCACAATCAAAGCTGCTCTTCTCTGTTCATGTTTCTTTTACATCTTGTTTTACTTTTTCATTTTTTCTATCTCACAACCTACTCTCTGTCCTAAACCATGCAGCAGGCAGCACGCCGCTTATTAAACTCTAAAAATAAAACGTTATTTGTTTGGGTTACCAACATGTTGCCTCCTATTTTCTACAACTCGTTATTCCACTCAAAATGTCGGCAATTTTTTTTTCCAGTCAAAACGAGTAACTGAGTTTCACCCTCCACCTGTTGCAGGAAGTCAGTGCTCATCTAGCCATCCACTTGAGGAGATGCAGAATCTTGCCCTTATCTAGGAAATCCTAATTCTCCATCCATATGTCTGGCTCCAGCAATAAGAACGAAAGCACCTTACTCAAAGGCGCTCCCCTACCGACCTCTGAGGTCCTCCATGAGCTGACCTGGCCACCTTCACCCTTCTCTCTGCCTTACCTGAAGTTTCCAAAATGCCCTGCGGTGCTTCACTTCTGCTCTTATTTTCTCTGAAGGGGATCTTTCCCCCACTTCGCCCTTTTAACAAAACACTTCCAAGCTTCAAAATACGCATCGCCTCCTCTCTGAAGCCTTTCTAGATCCCACTCTATTTCTCGGACCAACAGGCCTGAGTTTTCAAGCCTCGTCTTGGAGACCAGAAGTCAAAGCAGGGACAGAGCTCATTCAACCTGCAGCCCCTGGTAGCAGCACACCTTGGGGACCAGGGATGCTCAAAAACCGTCCGACCACTGGCCATGACTGCTAAAACACCGCTTTAAAACCAGGGCCACTGCAGTGGCAGGGTCGCCACTGCCCTCGCGCGTCCAAGAACGTCCCGGTTTCCCGAGAGACGCTAACATCTGCAGCCTTTAGAGAGAAGCGACTCGATTCTCTCCGTTCCCCGAGCCCTGGACGGCTGTGCGAGGCCATAGAAGGGGCGGTCCAGGTCACTGGGGTCCAGTGACGGGCGGCTTCGTCAGGACTTGGCCCGCTATGAGAAAGACGCGTTCGTTAGTCCTGAAGAGATCTACACAGACCGGAGGCCCGAGGAGCCCGGAGCTAGTGGAGGTGGCGGGCGAGGGTGCCGGGGGCCGGGACGCGGCGCGCAGGAAGCCAGGGAACCCCCCGAAGCGTCGAGAGGCCGCCAGCGGATCCAGCCGCCGGGCCAAAATATGCCCACCCCTGGCGCCGAGGCCTAAAGCCGCGGCCTCAAGTCCCGCGCCGCCGGGGAAAGCGCACCCGCCCCGGGTCCCGGGTTCCCGATCCTGTCAGGCCGCCCGGCCAGAACGGTCGGAGCGCGACTTACTCGGCCTGCCTGGCCGACTCTGCCCATGGGCCACGGTGGCGGCTGCGCGGAGCCCGGCCGCACACGGCGGAAACCCGCCGACCGTAGGAGCCCACCGCCGCTCACAACCTCTGCTGAGTCCTCGGGGCGGTCCGCGGCGTAGGGTGAAGCAGCGCGGGCCTCAGAAGAGCGCGTCTGTGTCTGCGCCTGCGCCTGCACCTGCGTCGTGGGAGCCTCGTCCCGCTGCCTCGTCACACTGCTCCCGTCACACTTCCCCCTGCCGGTTGGAGGATCGCACTGCACGCTCCCCTCCACCGGCCTTCTCTTCTACCAAGAGGTGTCACTGTGGTGCAAGGATTCGAAATTCCGTCAGATTTGCGGATCGTGGCAGTGACACCAGAGGGAAGGAGGAGAAAAGGTCCAGGGCGTTCAGAACCCTTGGTTTACAGGTCAACAGTTGAAAATAGATCTCCGTAGGCGAGGTGCTGCAAAAGAATAGCCGTGAGCACTGAATTAAGTGTAAGGCTATGGAAACATGCCGAGATTAGCATTACAGAAAAGAGTATAAATATTACAAAGTCTCGCAGTTTTAAAACTGTGTAAATTACAAAAAGTGGGGGGAAGTAGAAAAGGGACTTCGTGTGAATATAATTTTCACATCTTTAAATGCAGAAAATATTTTAAGCTGATAGATAAAAATTTTAGAGATTTAGGTAGGTATCAGTGCAAAGGAACACAATATAATCAACTAAAATTTGGTGATTTAGGAAAGGGAGGGAAAATAGAAAAAGAAAATTAGTCAGAAGGTAATAGGCAATGTAAAGAAACAGAGGATTAAGGGCATCCTTTAGCCATGTAATAATGGTAACCCAGAATAAAAATACAAGTCTTTTAGATGATCAAAAACATACAAGCACGCAGCTATAGAAAACAAAGTGACATAATGGAACAATTGGAAAAGTTACAAAACAGAATGCATAGCAAAACAAATAACAAAATTAAGAGGAAAAATCTCACATGGATAAATGTAAGGGACCTAAGTTTATCTACTACAAAAATGCAATACAACTTCAGATTGGAGCACAAACCATAACACCACTCTATATCATATAAGGCAGTGTTCAAAAAAAGTGATTCTGAAATTTTGAAAATACAAGACTGGAAAAGATATACCAGTTTCTGCCAGATAAGCATAAAGAAGTCAGGGATCACAAACACTTTTCACAGGTAGATTTCAGGGCAAACAGCTTTAAGTAAGTTTTAAAAGGGTATTTTTTAAAAGGTCACAATTTACAAAATAATAATAATAATAATAATAATAATAAGAAGAAGAAGAAGAAGAAGAAGAAAATCCATGCAATAAATCAAATAACAGTGCATATAGAAGATACTATAGGAATGAATGAATAAATCATTGGTTTAATCCTTGACAGATTAATCCTTGACAGATTAATATAGTGAGGATTGAGAAGACATAAAAATGTAATTAAAATGGTAGACATAACAAACTCTGTACCCTGAAACAGATTACACCTTTTCAATTGTCTGTGGAATATTTGTAACAATTGGCCTTATTTTATTTCTCAATAAAATAAACTACATTTTATTCATCATTCTTTTTTTTTTTTTTTTTTTTTTTTTGCAGGGCTGAGGACCGAACCCAGGGCCTTACGCATGCTAGGCAAGCGCTCTGCCACTGGGCTAAATCCCCAACCCCATATTCATCATTCTTAAACCATTTCAATTGGCTGTATTTTAGACCAGAGGGGGAAAAAATCTTAATATATCCCAATAAGTAGAATCATGTGTATTATCTGATCAAAATTCAATTAAACTAGAAATTAATGACAAAAGAGAAAGTAAAGCATTCCTACTCCTTGGAAGATATTAAATACCTAAACAACATTTGGATCAAGAAGGAAAATAAAACCAAAATAGCATAATACCTAGAAAGTCTAAATGATGAATCAGAATCCATGAGACTTAGCTAAAACAGTACTAAAAGGCATATCTAAGAATTTAAATTTTGGTATTGATTTAAAAAGTTGGGACAAATTAAATGAGCTAAGTGCCTAGGCAAAAAAATAAAAGAAAAAAGAAATAAAACAATAAAAATTTGAAAAGGAAAAGGAAGTTACCAATAAAGAAAAAAAATCAGAAAATAATGGTGTATAGACAGAAAAAGGATAAGGAGCAAAGATAGAAGTTATCTGAACTAGGTCTCTCCCCACCCCCCGGTCCCAGTGGAGGTGRTACTCAAAAGCCCTGGTTCTGAGACCCAAAACCTAGGGACTCCCTCCATTTTGAATTGCTGTCTACCAATTCTCCTTAAGCCACTTGACATCTCCACTTTGCAGACTGTTTACCACTGCTTTACTCCCTTCATGGGAATTWTGTGTATTTGTTCTTAAATCATTCAATCATTCATCCTTAGATTACTTATTGGTTTACAGACTACAGGTACAATTCTATCCATTGTTTGGGAATTGTTCAGTTGAAACCCAAAAAGAAAATCTTAACTCCTTCATCTCCCAGTACATAGGCATATTCTTTTTTCCTCTATTTCCTGCCAATGGTAATAAATATTACTTTTATTTTATGAATTGAGAATCTGAGACTTACCATGATAGAGGAAAATAATACAGGCCATGTATCTCTTAGGCAGTATAAATAAAGTGGTGGAGATTGGGAAGAGAGATAAGAGGCATTGGGCGTCCAGTTGAGCAGCTGGGCAAACATACAGAGCAACCCCTACAGAAACTATTCATATAATTTTCCCAAGAAGTGCTTCACAGCCTGCAGGGAGTAGAGCAGGATATAAATTGGTAGGATTAATCAAGAACTGGAAATTAGCAGGGCAGATGTTCCAGAAGGAAAAAAGATGGGAAGTATTTGGGCTGGCAGGAGAACATCTAGGCAAAATGCCATCCTGCATGATGGGCAGAAACTGGAGGAGATGAGAAGGGGGCAGGTGCCCTGGAAGGAAAATATGTTGGTTAAGATGACAATTTGATCAAAGTTGAGTATCTGCAAGCTCTCTATGAGCAGTGATACTTTTGGCAAAGCTCTGGGGAGAATTTGTGTGGTTCCTCTTGTACATATCTAAGCAGTTTTATCCATTTTTCAGGAAAATTTTAAAGTTTTTCTCTAAGTCATTTTTGTAGCTATTCCTGTTCTTTAATGTTTATGATAACAAAAAATTAGAAACAAATCAAATAGCAAAATAAAGACTTATGAGATCCAATTATCTTGGAATACAAATAATTTACACACAAATATATACCAGAAAAGTATCTAAAAATACACACCAATATGGCTTTCTCTAGGTAAATGGAATTATAGAGACTCTATTAAAATTTTTTTTGCTTGGGGAATGGGTACTGGGGGTTGAACTCAGGGGCACTCAACCACTGAGCCACATCCCCAGCCCTATTTTGTGTTTTATTTAGAGACAGGGTCTCACTGAGTTGCTTAGCACCTCACTGTTGCTGAGGCTGGCTTTGAATTCCTCATCCTCCTGCCTCAGCCTCTGGGATTACAGGCACGCGCCACCTCACCAGGCCTGCCTGTGTATTTTTCTAATTTCCCTGTAGTATGTTTGCATTACTTTTATAATAAAATAACAAAATAAATTGTCACTTTTTAAAATACATAGAATTTTCTGAAGCTTTAAAAAAGTTTTAATTCGTCTTCCAATTGATGTCTGTGCTCCTGGTTTGATCAGGATTTTCATAATTTCAAAATTGTATTGATTGGTTGAAAACTAATCTTTTCAATAAGAAAATTACTTTTTAGAAAACACAATTCCTGAGCTGGGGGTGTAGTTCAGTGGTAGTGTTTGTTTAGCATATACCAGGCCTTGGGATCATTTCCCAGCACTGCAAAACAAAACAATAAAACACAATTTCTGTGCACGATTTCCGGCTTTTGTGTGGATATCTTTCAAATGGCAAATTCAGGTAAGTATGTATCTAAATTGGTCAATAAAAGGATGCCTTTAGCCTTTTTAGCTCTGAGGTTCTCGCTCTTCAAGCAATGACACCAGTACGGAATGTGTCCCTGGGGACTTCTGTCTTCTCCATTGTGTCCGTTAGTGCATCCCCAGCGTGCGTGAACAGAAGCAAGTCTTGTTCCTTGTACTTCCATCACTAGTACAGCTTTGAGTCGCAACCTTCATGTGGTTCCCAATGTGTGATCAGGTCATCAAAGCCAGATCATTGGCTTACGTGGCACGATCGGGAAATGAGTTTATCTGTGATCTGAGGGTTTCGAGGGATTAGTAATCCTTTCAAGTTACAATCTCTCCCTCTGCAAATGAGCAGTGACACAGATCAGCACAGAAGTAGAGCACTCTTGGATGGTAGGGGGAAACTACTGCCAACGGTGTGCTAGGGGTCTTAACAGCAATTGTACCACTCATCTCCGTTGATTTGGTGAGATGGGTGTTATTGTGCCTGGTTTTGTTTTTGTTTTGTTTTTTTTTTTGGTTCAGAACAGAAAACCAAGGCTCAGAGAAGTTAAGAAATTTCCTGAAGATGCATAGTTACTAAATGGCTGAACTATGATGAGAATCTAGGTCTGGCTGGCTGGGGTTGGTCTGCTTTTTAGTATAGTAAGCTGCCTCCTGAGAAGGCAATTTAATTAAGAAGCAGGACACTGATGCCCCCACCAGAAATATATTTGGCACTAGACAGTTTAGTCTCTCCAGTTCCACTGACCTCACCATTATTCCCACTGAAAAATAATACCATTTATCAAGCAGCAGACACTAGAATAAGAGAATTACATATTTTATTTAATTTATTCCTCCTGTGGGCTCTATGTGCTAGATGTTCCATTCCCATTTACAAGTGAAGAAATGGAAACTTAGAGGAGTTTTTTTTTTTTTAGAGGAGTTTTTTGCCCAAGTTTTTATCTGTGCTTAGAGCTCCTAGATTCCCAAGCCCATCCTCTTAAATGTTCCTCCTTACTCCACCTGTAAAATATGGGCAAAGACCAACTGTGATGTATCATCTCTGTGCAGTAAAATGTGCAAGATAATATTTTTATTTCTGACAGCATTCCAGTATGTCTATAAAAATTAAGATGATTCATTTTAGTTTAGATTTCATTGAATTTCATCAGAATCCAATTTCTTAAAAACTCATCCTTGGGCTGGGGATGTGGCTCAAGCGGTAGCACACTCGC